CATGTCGCTATAGTTATAGTAGAGTATACAATCGGCTATTTCGCCATCGCGTCCAGCGCGACCTGCCTCCTGATAATATCCCTCAATGGACTTGGGCAATGAATAGTGAAGCACAAAGCGCACATCGGGCTTATCAATGCCCATGCCAAACGCAATTGTGGCGCATATCACACGCACCTTATTCGTTATCCAATCCTTTTGGCGGGACTCGCGTGCCGCATCCGTTAAGCCCGCATGATAGGCCACCGCGCGTATGCCGACAGCGCACATCTTCTGCGCCACCTCGTCGCATTCCTTGCGCGACAGGCAGTAGATTATGCCGCTGGCTGTTACTGCACGGGTTTGTATAAAACTGCGAATATCGTCCAACGTGGAGGCGCCCTTCTTGGGCAGTACCTGATAGCGTAAGTTGCTGCGATTGAAACTAGACAGAAACCACTTGCAATGCGTCAGATTCAGTTGCTGCAATATGTCCTGTCGAACGCGTGGCGTAGCCGTGGCCGTCAGCGCCATGGAAGGCACATTGGGAAAGCGTTTTCGTAAAATGCCCAGCTTCTTGTAGTCCGGCCGGAAGTCATGACCCCATTGAGAAACACAATGAGCCTCATCTATGACAAAGCGACTGATATAGTTGTTGGCGCTCAGCTGATCGAGTGTGTCCTGAAAGCGCGCCGAACTGGAAATCTTCTCGGGCGTCACATACAACAGTTTTACCAGCGGTGGATGACACTCTAAATCCCTATATATAGTCATAACCTCATCCAAAGTCTGCTCTCCGGACATGCTCTTGGCGCAAATCTGCAAAGTATTGAAATGATGTTACAAGAACTTATGTCAACTCCATACACTACTCACATCCAACGAAGCCAGCTTGTTGACTTGATCAAATATAAGCGATTTGAGCGGACTTATAACTATGGTAACGCCCTCGGTGAGTATAGCAGGCAGCTGGTAGCACAAGGATTTGCCGCCACCCGTGGGCATGAGTACAAAGCAATCGTTTCCTAACAGTGCCGCATTGATGACTTGCAGCTGATTAGGTCGGAAACTCTTTAGGCCAAAGCTAAAGCTAAGCGCCTGCATCAGACGCGTGGAATGCTCGAACTTCTGACCATCGAATTCGCCCGTGATCCCATCATTATGCACATTGGCATGGAAATTTGCCTCGATTTTTTGTGCAGCAGCTGCCGCGCTTCTTGCGCGGCTTATGCTAGGCTTGGATTGGGACTCTACGCGACTGGTCAAGTCAATGCTTGATGTTACCGCTTGCTCATGCGCCTGCTCAAATAATGCCGGATCGTACTCTGGAAAGCCGTCATCGTCCAAAATTATAGGCACTTTGCTGGCAACGTTACGTTGGGCAGGCTCTTGTTCCTTTGTAGACGCCTGATTGACAGCCTCAAAATCCGCGTAGGCATAGTTTTTGTACTTTGATTTGCGTCCCTGAAGCGCCTCGTGCTCTTCGCGTATTTGCCTCAGAGTGTCCTCGAAATCATCATCGGAATCAACAATAGTTGTGGCCTTGGCCGGATCAGTCGACACGAGTGGAGCGTATTGTGTTGAGCTGCAAAGTTCCTCCTCATCGAGTCGTATGCTTTGCGCTAGATAATCATCCTCATCCGACTCCAACGTTGGACCATCTATGGGCACCAGGTCTTCCAAATCATCAGGTGCATCATTAACATAGCTTTTGTTTGTTGTATTTGATTTTGTTGTTGTTGCTGGCTTTGAAATTAACACCAGGTCGTTCAGCTCCTCCTCATTTGGGTCCTCTGAAGGACCCGTTGCACAGCTACTGGGCGTTAGCGCCTTTGTTTGCCGCTGTTCCGCCTGCATCTCGCGCTCCTCCTGCTCCAATGCATCAAAGTCCGGTTCGTCTGGTTGCGCCTCTCGCTCCTGACGTTTACGCTCGATTTGTCGCTCCAGAAGTTGTGTGCGCGCCTTAAATTTCTGACGCATGACCTTTAGCTTGAGAAATGTGTTCGCCTCGAAGCCAGCGATTTCATTGAAATGAACCGCGGGTATTTGATCAATCACCTCGCAGTATTTCTCCATTAGCTCGATGTACCTGGTCTTGTACAGGCTCATGGTGTTCCTTAGCATTGTCTCATTTTGCTGGCAAAAATCAGTCTTGGCTATACCTATCTCATACTGACCTAGATCGCGCAAATAGTCGGCCAGTGAGTTATCAAAAACAATTTTAAGCTTAGGCTTGGCAGTGGTTGCCGCCGTCGCAGGTGCTGGTTTCTCTGGCATACTCAGCATGGAGCTGGACGTAGTTGACTGCGTAGCAGTTAGTTCCAAATTGGTAGGTGGCAAAAATGGCTGAGTCGGCGTATCAGACAAAGGCTCCTCTTTTGGAGTGTTCTTTACCATCGCATCAAAGCTGTCGTCCAAGGTGCTGCTTGCATTTGAATTGGTCAATTTGGGTGATTCAATGGCATCCAATTTAAGTGGGGACTGGGACAATGACAGTGCCTTTCGTGGTGATACGGACAGCTTATTAATGTGTCCATTGAGCTTTGATAACGTAGCCTGATAGGTTGCATCTTGTTTGAGCACTTCATCAAAGTTATCAAAGTTTAATTTCAGGCTCCCAGCGATGGCAGGCTTTGTGGGAGTTTTGTTCGTGGTTGCAACATTTGTTGGCAGTGGTGCTAGAGGCGATTGGTTGGCATTATCAAAGCTATATCGCTTAATAAGCGCATTACCATTGGCGTCCTTATCTGGCGCTTTATTCATAGTCGTCATCGTCGCGGATGGCACTTCGCATTGACTCTGTGCACCATCTTCATCGGATGAAGATGAGTCGAGATAAATGGGATTATAAAACTTTGCTTTTGCTGCCCTTACCGCCAAAATATCTAAAACAAACATAAAACATTACCTATATATAACAAATATTATTAGTGGGAACTACAACTTTTTCTTGATTGCGTCGATTGGCTCTGGCTGTTTTTGTCTAGGCCAAGGAATGCAGACATTGACAGTTGTTTGTTTTGATTAACGGGTTTTCTGGACATTGTGTAAACTCGCGCACAACTTTAACACTTATTTAAACTTTTATACAACTTAATTAACTGAATCGGAATATGTAAACAAATTAATAAAAAATAAAAGACGCGGGCAACTGTCGCACATCTTGTTGTGTTCATCGACCAGAGTTGCCAGAGATTGGCAATATTAATAGTTGTCAAGATAGATATATATCGCAGTTAATAAACTATACAAATTTTCCTATTTCCTATTTAGAACTTTATACAGAATAAAAGGTCTTTATCAATAGTTTAATTATTTATGTAGACCAGGTATAAATGTCGTTAAGAGAGTTCGATAACATTTATCGAATACTACGCGGCAATGCCAAAATCATATGTGTGTCAAACTAGCGGCGACTTAGCGTCGATTTTTAGTCCTTGGTTTCGGAAAAGAAATCGCTCATGGGATAGTCGCACCTATCGATATATAATAAGAGATATTTTTTCATGCATTTAGTGCCCTGCAACTGATGCAGTAATTTTTCTGTGAAAGCTTAAAAAATTTCGCTTAGGCAAAAATTAATGGCAAACAAGCGTCTATTTATCTACGCTGCATTTCTGGCGATATGTTATTTACTTGGCGCGACATGGGTAAGTATTCTCAACGTAATACCTACTACGCTAAAACTTTAATGATGGTTGTATTTGTTCGTTGACAAAGGCTGAGACAGCAACACAAACACTGACCAGCAGCAGCAGTAATAGCAACAACAACGCCAGTCAACTTAATGCACCTGGTAAGGCGGCAGTAACTACTGCAGCGCCAGCAATCGCTACTCCAAAAGTCATAAGCAGTACGGCAACAAGCGCCAACACAAGTAGCAGTCCTAGTGAATGGTTTGTAATCCCGTAGTTACGAAACGTAAACAGATTTTAGATATATGCCGTTCTACAATTAGTTCCTGTGTTGGAGCGCTGCTACCGCAAGTGGATGCCAATGGAAAGGAGCTTCCCATGTGCGCCGAGTGTAAATGCTCCCATGTAGCGCGCAATACGACACTTATAAAGGTGTGTATAGTCCTAGTATCGCCTTAAATTTGCCAAAAATGTTTTGAATTTGTTTGATTTCTAGGTCGTTGTCATTATTGTGATTTGGATAATATCCATTTTAGTGATATACATGCTCTTCCTAATGTGCTTGGACCCACTGCTTAACAAACGCGTCAAGGCTAACAATTATCAGGAGCACACCAATGAAGATGTACATAACAAATATTCTAAATATGCAGGCATTAAATATAGTCGACTAGCCGCTTATCCTGCCGTTGATGACGACAGTGATGATGAGGCGCAGCTAGTTGGCAATAAAGAAGCACACAACGTTTGACGCCGTTTGCCAAACGATTTATATAGAAATACTTTATTGTTTTATTTTATTTAATGCTTTTAACATACGCACGTGCTAACCAAAGTTTTTTGTTTATGTGTTAACCAATAACGGCCTCAAATAATTCGCTTCAAATTTTCCTTCTTTTTCTGCTGCGCCTCCTAGGACGAACCCACACCGCCTATACCCGCTGGCCCCAACAATCAAGAGCTAAGCGCACGTGCCAATGTTCTGAATCGTGTCGGACATCAGCAGGACAAATGGAAGCGTCAAGTGCGGGAACAGCGGCGTCACATCTACGATCGCCATACCATGCTAAATTGAACAGCAACATTATGTGCTGGAGCCGTTGGCGACTTAAAGACATGTATTCTGGCAGCAATTACGTATTGTATTTGAAATAGCTCTTTAACACTGCTTGTCTCATTAATTGGATCAAAATTAATTAATATTATTAGCAACATTTTATATTTTAAATAAATTCACATAACCAAATAACTATATGAACGTTTAAAGGATCAAATTGAATGTAACTACTCGAGAGTTGGGCAAAGTTCTATAAGAACTTTCGCACATGCGCTTCATTTGCAAAATTTCAAGTATTCCTTGGAATCTCCTCGATATTCCCCACATCATTTGTTATTTTCAAGAGCCTACAGGCTTTATTAATGTGTTTGGTTCTTAAATTACATTGTATTTGAAAATTCAGCCTAGTAGCCTTTTACGGTTTCAGCAAAGGTCCAGTTTTCTTCTACTTTAAAGGGGCCTTTTATGCTGCAATCGGCGGCAGTGCAAATGCCAACCGTGTATTGGGGAATGCTGCGCGTATCACGGTAATACAGCACCTTCATAGACTCACGAATCTGCATTTATACAAAAAATGTATTAATATTAATCAATAATATTTTGTTTGTTGTTGGCCTACCAAGTTGGTTGCCTCTTCGAAAGTAAAATCGCGATCCTTGGGCTTGCGCTCCCGCACAAGCGGTAGAGCTAAATGTCGTCCAAAGCCGGTGGCCACTACATAATCATTATAGGCCCTTCCTCGCATATCAACATTACCCAGAAACGGTTTACCGGTCTCATCAACACCACCAACCACAACATCAATGTAGAGTGGATTCATGCGTGAGCGTCGGTTATACAGCACGCGTGTCAACCAGCTGGCCAATTCTCCAGGCTTCATGATGACACCATCATTGTAGCACTGATCCTCTATCATCTTCTGATCGATGTTACGCTTGATAGACTGTATGTCCGCAAAGTCTCCACTTCCGCCTAGCAAAATGTTGTTATTGATCTTGAATACGCGTTGAATATCCTGATAACGTGCCAGGGAGCCATAGGAAACCAGCGTATCAGCAGCCACCAGGACACCACCATCGAATTTGATGCCCACCACTGAGGAGCCCGTAGTAATTGCAGCGCTAATAATGTAAAAAGTGCTAGAGCTTTCAGGCGGTGCAAACTGCCTTAACTTACGTGCTGTGCTTGGTACCGAAAGGACCTGCAGTTGTTAATTCTCGCGGCAGTTGTGTTGGGGCATTGCCCCCCATGAAATTGTAAAATTGACCGGGCGAAGGTCCATTTGACCACATTGGCTGTGCGAAGCTGTTGTTCATCATCTTAATATATTTAATAATAGTACTTTGATATCAAGTGGAAATAACAGCAAAAGCAGTCGCAGAATGACAGGCACAAATAAAAGCCGAACAGTTTTAGATAGCGACGAATTTATAAAGCTTTGCAGCACTGCAAGGCGTTTTGATCGATATACGCAACTATCGATACACATAGGCCAGGGCAACCTGTTGGAGCAAACGATATGGTGACAACTCTGACAACGACTAGTTGGCTGGCTTTGCACAAAACGCGCTAGATTTAGAAATTATATTAAAATTTTGAAGCAAAGTAAGAAAAATACAATTTTGATTAAAAATACATGCTCACCTTTATTTTTGGAGGTAGTATAATTCAATAGAATATACAAATACGTATATATATTATATATATATTATATATATTTATATACATATATAATGCACACCTTTTAGGGAATGTTTAAATATTTTGCTTGCATCTTACAGATGGCATAATACAGATGAATAGAATATCATTGTAGAGAGTACAGTTCGCTAACTACTAAAAACATTTAACATACATAATATATAAAAATTTCTCGATTATGCAATAGTAAAATAGTCTACATTACATGCTAGTGTCACGGCCAATTTTTAGTATCTTACTAAATTAAAGCTTTGCCTATAAATTACTAATCCTTGCAACAACAATACACATTATCGCTTGAGCTGGCGGGGGTTGTGGGCGCGCTTACGCCTGCCTTTTGAGGCTTACTATAGGAATGTGGACCACGCATAAAAACATCTATAAGCTGGCAATGGGAGCTGTATACACAAAAATCAAAAGTAAGTTAAAAATATAAGTTTAAATATTTGATATATCATCGTATGCTTGCCTCATTGTTATATCTAGATCGGTGACAACCTCTCCATCACAATTCCAGCTAGAAAACTCCGAACTGACCGTGTCATTGCCGCTTTGGGCAATTGGTGAGCGTGAACCGGCAATACTAAGGTTTTCCTCCGTTGTGACCGCTGTCAATGTACGAAAAATGAACTTACGAGTCCGGTAGACTTCCACAAAAGGTAGGTTGCGCTGCAATAATTTGGAAAAGCATGTTACGTTTATATTCTTAATAGCGATGTATATAATGAGTACTTACAATATCGCCTGCTCGGCCTGCAGTATTTAACAAAAACCGCACATTGTTGAGCAACGAAGTTTTCCGTACTAGGATCAGATCAAGGCAGCCATCGCCTAGATGACTATAGCGCGAGATGCCATTGGGGCTGCGGGCACAGGCACATGTGATGTTGGCGCCGCAAATCATAAAGAAATTTCCACGAATAATCTTCCACTGCAGGTCGCCCGGCAGGTTTAGGTTGGAGCCATACGAGCCGCCGGGCTGCAACGGTAGATTGACCGGACGTATCGGTCGCGGGCGCAACAATGCCGTTTCGCTTGTGTTTAGCTGCAGTTCACAATTTGACATAACGGACACACCGACAGGCAGATTTATCTGTGATTCCTGCTGTGGGTGCAGCTGCTCGTGCTGATCTGGGTGTAGTTGTCGCTCTTCCCTTCTTTCTATATCAGTGGCAAACAACGCAGGGCGTTGCTCCTGTAGGGAACTAGCTATGCTGCAGCGCTGGCAATTTGCATAACACACGGAGGCAGAGTCAGCGTGAACACTGACCGGGCTCTGTGGCGTTTCCGGCTCTGTGGGCTCCTCGAGCAGTTGCAGCTCCGCGTCATAGCCACGATTGTTAATAAACGCCTTGATGCCGCTATACTCGTAGCGCCGTGTTCCCATCCAGCGGTATTGTTCGCTCTCGGCGGCTACATCGCCCAGATACCCATAGCTCAGCACACTGGCACAGAACCTCAGAAGGGTGCGTTTATTGCTCACACTGCAGACGTCGAGGCCGCGCCTCTGGCCGAGCAGCACGTGAATGGCCGCAGTCCGTACATCAGCCGTGCCGTGCATGCTATAGACAATAGTATCAGTGCTGCCCGCTGGTATCACAGCCACAGGCAGGCTGGGACGTGGTATATAGGCTGGTCTCTGCTCATCCAAGCCCAATTCTCGCATGCGCCGAAACACAAGACCATTTATGACCTCGGCCACTGTACCATCACCGCCCACACAGCATACGGCATCATAGCAGCTAAGATCGTGAGTGAGCAGTATATCGCGGATTTGATTGGCACGCTGGGTGGTTATGCAGGTGACATCGATGCCGGCCAGCTGAAAAAGCGGTCGTACTAAACGCTCGTAGGTTTGTGTGCCTGCCTTGCGCCCCCCAAATGGATTGATGAAAACCAGCAGGCGTTGCACACGCTGCCCTCCAACGGGCGAGGACTTTAAGCGTGCCTGTAGCTGCAAATGCCATTGACGCACTATGTACGCATCTGCATTATAAAAGGTGATGCGTCGTAGCTGCCAGCGATTGCAGTCCGATTTCGATTTGCTCAGACGTTCTGCATAATTGACTGTCAAAAATTGTGCTGTGGGCTTCATATCCCCATCGCCATGATGCATATTTTGGTTAGAAGGGGGCTGTCGGCTTTCGTGTTTGGTGTCGCCAGAACATACGCTAATGATGTCATCTAAGTGCAGAATGTGGCTGTGCGGGCCATAGCTGCAAGTGCCATCGCCAGCCAGTTGTTGCTCGTATACAGAATCCTCGGGAAGCGGTCTCTTTTGCGGCTCGTTCTGGCGCGACTGTTTCTCCTTTGACTGGCGCTGCATGCGCTCCCAAACCAACCTCTGACCATGGAGCAGCACGCGGTAGCTCTTCTTTTTCAGCTGGAAGTTGTTAAGCAGCACATCTGAGGAGCAGCAAGTGGCGGCAGCCGCAGCGGCAGTTGTCGTCTTGTTAAACTCTGTGCTGCCGGTCTGCGTCATCTTCGTATCACTTTGTCTCTGCAAGGCAATGGCGAGAAAAACAGGTTTCCATTAGAATTACGTACTCGTTTGAACTTTGCTTTAGACGGCCTGTTTGCGAGTGGAGACGGGTGGTCGTTGCGGTAAATATAATAGCTCCATTCTCTTTTTTAAGACTTAAACACTGCAACCAAAGCTTTGGCTTTATGTTGATTTTGATTTATATTATATTTAATAATAGACCTATAGCAGCCAAATCGAAAATGTTTTTGAATATCGTTAGCATACATCCATAACATATGTTAATTTCAATTCAATAATATCGGATTCTAAAACGAATATATGACACACACATTTTTTTAATCGATTTTAAATATTCTCTATAATATATTCGTATGTAAGAAAATGATCATACCTCTATATTTCTTACTTGATTTTTCTATACGAGTACGCTCCACAATACATGACCAGTTTGCTATTTAAATATAGCATTCATTTAGTTTTTGCCACGACGCAATGTGCTATTTCCAATATTTACTGCTGATAAGCAACCAACCGAATCAAAATTATAAATGACATGCTAATGACATGTAATTCGCAACTCGAAAAGCGAAATGGAGATACATATGATTTTGCTAAAACGCTTCTCTTGGCTTCACCTGGGCCTTGGCTTTTGAAATATTTTAGAACATATTATACACACATGTTCAATGCCTATTAAGTTGTACCCCTGACACTGGCCTTCACCAAGCTTAACGCACAAGGGCCTAAAATATGACTAATATTTGTTACTGCTAATTAGATACACACACAAAAACAAGTTAAGAGTGATCGACTAGGCGGTACCTGAACCTAAAGCACTGTATTTGAGTAAGTAAGCATATAAGTATATTTATCCATATAATTATATATCCATATATAGTGCAGTATATATAAACATCAAGGACATCGAATGGCACCCATTAAGGTTAGCTATTTGAGGCCATGGTACTTATATTAGTGGGTACAGGGCATAAAAAATAGAGCTGAGAATTTACCAGTTCAGCGACATGGACGAAGCACACTTACACGTCGTATAATCAAAGATCAAGGTTATAAGTATGTTACTGTACTATATATAGAGTAAAGAATCAGAACAATTTAGGAAGCTGCGCTCTAGCAACAGCAATCAACAACAACAAAATCAGTAAAAATGTTGCTCCGAAACGAGTTTCTCTCGTCTTCTCTTTAGTACTCTTGTCTCCACTCAGGGTGTGCAGCTTTTTGACCTTCGCCTTGAATTGCAACAAGTTTTTTTTGTATAGTCATTTTTGAACTGCCCGACTCGCCTGAACGAATCTGTGTGTATGTATATTGGACACTATTAGTAGAGTTAACGGCCTTTTAAGTCAAAAATTAAACCGCATATGCATTTAGTCTATGCAAATGACATTTAAGTTTTGTTTCGCCTATTTTATGCTCATTTCCGGCTAGCAATTGAAAGCTTATAAGCCACCAATTTTTTGAGTACAGTGCATGATAAATGCTTTTTATGTATTACCAATTTTTTAAGTACAGAGCATAGTAACTGCTTTTTATGTTTCCTATTCCTCTTTATATATATACATATATATATATATACAATTTTTAATTAACGCTTTTAATTAACCTTGTCGTTTGCAATTTTCAAAAATGTCTTTAAACCCATTAAAATAATTTGTTTGTGTACTTTCAAGTGTCTGGCACGCCCTTCTTGACTGAATGCCAAAATTCAATTATATTTTGTATGAATAAAACAACAATTATTTATATATAGGCACGAGAAACAAATAAAACAATTGGCATAACTTTACAAATATAAAACTACTTTCTTATATACTAGAGTATATTGTAGCACTTACTTTTGTTAAAAGCTATACAAATCGAGTGTTTTGTTTTGATAAATCTATTTTGTTTAAAAAACGCACGCAAACAGTTTATTTCGATAATATCACGGCACGCTGCATTAGCGGGCTGTAAACGAGTCAGCCTCAGATAGAAAATATTGTAATTGTTGTATTCTATAATTAAGTACATTTATTGTAACTAAACAAAAACATTGAAGTTCCTCAGTACTTAGCAAGCCGCCTGCTTATCAATTTATAAGTGCATGTGACCGATAGATAAGATAGCGACAATGATTAAAAAACTAATGAACTAGAATAGAGGAAGGCGCGTCAGATGAGTTTGCAGCGAAACATAATTAATTATTTAACATAATTATTACAAAATATTTGTTCAATATCCTTTCAAATTCAAGTTTGTACCAGTCAGCTTTTATCACATCGTTTAACATTATCAATAATACTTAATAGGACAACACTTAACCGTGTATCTGGCAGGTAGCAGGGGGTAAGGCAGAAGTCCGCATTTAAATGAATTATAAATTGTATAAAGAATTTAAATGCAAACATTTTGGCATCATAAAAAAAAATCTAGCTTTCAGAGTTGAAAAGAAAACATTTATATCCGCACTTGAAGTGGTGAAGTGGACGCGTTTAACCTATTTATAGCTGACACGCAGTCCAAAAATATTCTACAACCAGACACGGTTTATATTAAGATATAAGCCACATAAAATAGCAAAAAATAACAAAAAGTCAGCAAAAGCGAGACGGGAATAGGTATGGTCAAGCTTGGATAAGGCAAAAAAAACAAAGCTGTTATACTTTACAATTATACAATTACGAAAGCATAAACACTCTGGAGAACATTGGGGAGTCATTTTAAGCGGGCACACAACAAACATTACGCCAAGCACCGTTATCAGAATACAGCTGAGAACGGCAACGACAGCGCAAGTATGTAAGTACATGTGTGTATGTAAATTTCCAAATTGCTTTGCGTACGCATTGTCTGCTTCAGTTCAACACATTCTGAATGTATTCATTAGGTTCATGTGTACTTATTTAGCTGTTTTTGTCAGTGGGAATACCGGTAGTTGGTTACTGTTATGTTCAATAGGAAAAATTACCTTGTACATAGAAGAAATATCCGTATATCCATGCAATCATTGATGCATACATAAGCTACAGTTGATTTTAATTTTTCCAGTTATGTTGTTGGAAAATCAAGCTAATTCGATAAGCATTGCAATTTTGCACACACACGCACACGATACATACAATTTCAACGGCAGTTATATTACACGTTTTCCAATTGCCTTACTCCATTCACTTCCGCAACTAACCTTTATAAAGAATGCAACATTATAAGAAATTACCAACGTAAATCCAAAACCGAAATGCAAGAAATACTCAAGTTCCTAAACTGCGAAGCATTGAACGTGCTCCTCACTCGGAAAAACCAAACAAAATACTAATGAAAAAACTCAATGTGACCAGTCATCGTCGGCCACATAATACCAAAAAAGCTTTCCACAAAAATGTGGCAGTCGTAATACCAACCGGTGGCAAAAGACTTGTACAACGGTAATAATTGCGAGCAATTATTTTTCATGGAAACCTGAAAAATCTTTAACCTAAAATACATTTACTGAGTTTCTCAAACAACATTTTTTGTATTCCTTTTGAAAGTAATTCAAAATATGTCAGTCATTTATATTCTCCCATTTTGTCATGCAATAAAGCAATATAAATTTTCCTGTTCTATTTTACCGCCACAATATGAGTAAGTAATTTAACGATTTATTAACTCTCGGTATTTCTTCAGTTGGTTACTTTTGTGGCAGGCTCTCCCTGTGGCAAGTGTAACACATGTCCGTGCTCTGGTCAGTCGAATCAGGCTCCGCGACAGCAGCCAGTTCCTCAACAACAAGAACAAGAAATCCAGCAGCAACAACCAGAAATTTCTTGTCAACAACCGCAACAGCAACAAGCTGAGCGACAATTAGAAAGGAGATCCAGAGTTGAATGCCATTGCGTCAGTAGCAAAAGCAATAGACGAAACACAGCCCCAGTGCAGGCACCGCTCGCTGATTCATACACATGCTCTCGACCAAAACCTCAGCCTCAGGCAGCACCCACGCCGATCGAGGAGCGGTGCACATGCAAAGCAAAAGCTGCCCCGCCTCAGTGCGAGTGTAGCCCACCAGTAGTACCCCCACCTATGACGTCACAGCAACGGCTCGCAGCTGATCGCGAAAGGGCAGAGCAGGGGACGCATGCGTACATTACTTGCGGCCAACCGACTCCTTATCGAACCCAGAACCAGCCACAGTACTCACAGTATGGAAATCAACAGTCGCGCGCTCCTTGTTCGCATTGTCGATCCCAGAAAAAAAAGAAGTGCAGCATACAGTGAACGAACGTCAATTCGTTTGGAATGCTATCAGATTCGGACAGATTAGTAGGCGACCCAGACCCAGATGCTCAGTCGGCGAATGAACAAAAATTTTCTAATATTCTCACAATTTACGCATAATACTTATTTAGGAAATTTATAAAATAAAAAATTCTCAAATGTGATTGCTAATGCGACCGGAGTCATCCCAATATCAAGTGCAGTTCTTACGCTAGCTTTATCCCTTTCGGTACAAGTAAGAGTTAAAAAGGCCCATTATGTCTGGCTCAAGAATACATGACACTAAGTCTAATACTGGAGCAGGATGCTGCTGCGCTCCAAGCCGAACTAATATCGAAACGAATATTCAACCTGGAGCAAATTCCGTACTACCATGCGGCGGTCCACAGGGTCAACACTGTGCTGTAAGATATGGGCCCCCAGCCGCATCTGTATACAAACGGCCCCGAAACCAAGCCCAGTGCCATCATTGCAGGCGAAAGACAAAAAAGCGGTGCTCCATTCAGTAAACTCTGGCGCAAGCAATTGTCGCAATGCAAAATTTACAATATTCAAGTAATCAAAGCTGGCTTTACAGAATCACCAAGCTTTCAGTTTTTCCAAATCATTTAGAAAAATTTCAAAATTCAAGTCGGCTGCAGAACAAAAATATCTCCAAATGTAAATTGCTAAGAAACAACAAAAAAAAGAAGCTGAACTCCACCTTGAAAGCTGAAGCTGGTGAATTCTAGTTCATTGTTAACTACACCCACCGAGACCCAAGAGTAAGATGTCCCAGCCAAATATGTCTAGCGAGCCTTCAGAGCCTAAAGCGAATTGCCAATGTACTCCATTGCATCAACGACAAGAACAACGGGCTTCACCTTTGCAACCAGAGATCATACGAATTCCTTGCACTAGCGGACCTCTTCCCGAGTTGCAACCCAATCAGTATTACGGTTGCCAAGACCGCAAACAGAAACGGAAGTGCAGCATACAATAGATTATATCTTGAGCAATGATATCTGAATGGGAATAGGCTTTATACTCTAAAACAATCAGCATAGCAGGCGTTACAAATGGAGAAACTAAAGAGGCTGCTTGTAAAATAGTGACATCCACATTTAGCAAAATTTTCAGTTTTTCGTTCAAATACTATGCAATCCTAAGGACTTACGGCATTGAACCCAATGTGATTGCTGATGGGCAAGTCAATTCAAACAATATTTTTGTTCCGTTTAGCCAATCGCCCGAGTTGCAGCGCGGCGCCTAAGTAAATATTTCTTAATAAGTGCATATTTCTGTTCTGTTTAGGCAATCGCCTAGGCTACGGCGCGGCGCCTTGTAACATACAGCGCAGGTACGCATATTGCCCCAATCGTCAGAGATGTCATCCTGAAAGTTACGTTTGGCACGGGACTCACAGAGACATGTGTAGAAAACGCAGCCGGAATTGTTTTGTCATTCGCAGTCCACCTCTTGCCAAACTACGACAGCGGTCAATATGCCGTCAAGGGCTTTCCTCAAGCGTAGATTCAGGGTGCTGTTGTCCACCGCCAGAACCAATTTTGCGGCGACCATGCCGTCAGATAGCATCCTCAAGTACAATTGACTGCTGTTCGCCACTGGAACCTGCCCCGCCGCCCGCCCAATTGACATGTTATCCCGTTAGGCAACCAATTCTGGAAACCCCAGTGTGCGGTCTACCTAGACAACGGATGTGTGAACCACTGCGATCTCGATGTCCGACTCAGTTGCCACCCGTACTATCTGCACCTATGCCGCCGCCATATCAACCTTGTTATTCGAATCATTGTGGACAAGCTGATCATTACGCACCTGTGGTTCAGAGAATGAACGAGTGTATTGACGAACCGTTTGATCGCTACTATGATTATGACTGTAGTCAACGAAGACCAGATGCTAATCGATTGGCTTTTGATTTAAACAGATTCGATCGCGACAATATTGGTCGTCGAAGAAATGTCAGCATTCGCACTTGCGTGGACTATGATTATGAACCGGGACACGTAGTTAACCCTAGGCAACCATATGCCTTTTGCAATCGCCCTTTATATCCAAATTCACGCCAACCATGTCTATATCCACAATTTGTACCAACACGACTGAATCGTTGTCCTTCGCAGCGGAACTGCTCCGCCGTCGACAGACAATGCCCAAACTGAATTTGAAAATGTGAATGGGTGCAAAAAAAATACCAAACAACGAAAATAACCGACTATCGGTCTCATATCGACCAACCACCACAATCAAGCATTAATAGAATAGCATGGTAAAAAAATACCGCGATACAGCTGTCGATTAGTCCAATTTATCAGTCAGCTATCGACCCACCACCGCGATCGAGGAATAAGGGAATACAAAAAGTAGCGTGCGCTATACGTGAATTCAGAACAATCTCTTAAAAAATGGATGACGGGGAATATGATAATGATGAGTACGTGTATACTGCCTATATCTCTATCTCTTCTATAATTTATACGCTTTCTCCTTTTTTTTCAGTGTCGGCGGGGATGATTTCGATGATGTCGATGAGGACGTGGACGAGGATATTGCTCAGGAGGAAGAAGTAGATAATATTGAGATTATTGCACCCGGTGGCGCAGGGGGCGGCGGTGTACCTAAGTCCAAGCGGATCACCACTAAATATATGACGAAATATGAGCGCGCGCGTGTTTTAGGCACACGAGCACTTCAGATTGCAATGTGCGCACCCATTATGGTTGAACTGGATGGGGAGACGGATCCACTACAGATTGCGATGAAAGAACTGAAACAAAAGAAAATTCCAATTATCATACGTCGCTTTCTGCCAGATCACTCGTACGAGGATTGGAGTATAGATGAGCTTATCATGGTGGATAACTAGATGTAAGAACAGAATAGCTATAACAAATTTATTACATTTGAAAAAAAAAACAAATATCAAGCCACCCCAAAAAAAATATAGAAATAAACAATTAAATGAAAAGATGCAAATGAAGTCAGCTCCAGGCATACCCCTCGCCTTGCTGATAGCAGAAACGTTCCAGTAGGCCAACGGCATGTTGACCTGTCCTGCAGATGGCACCAACTACGGCGGGCAGTAGGCCACACTCTGAAAGATTTTGCTCTCCAAAAACTTGTCCAGAGACGCCAGCCTCTTGTTCCGCTGCCTTAGATTCGGCAGGCGTGATCTCCAACAGTTTCTGTGTAGCTTTGGTGAAAGCCAGAGTATTAATACTACTGGCCAGCGTGGCACTAAATGCCTGACGCGTTTCGCACAACAACATTGCAACGCTAGGCAGGAATGTGGGCAGCAACAGTCCCTTGATATCAATGCTGTAGTAATCGACACCGTCAAGCCGCACTTTTTTGGAGCGCGGCAGCAAATTCTGCATCGTAGCTTTTGGAAAGGCTACGGGGGCCAGAAGCGTAGGCGGGACACCTGCCAAGCGACCAACGCTGGTGATTGTACTCTTAGCATTCAGCAAGTAGCTGAAGAATCCTTGGCACTCCACACCTTCGATCAGCAGCAGCGAATTATCACTAAAATCCTCGCTCATTTCGGCTGCCTGCAATCTCCTCGCGTGTGTAGTTTGTATGCGCCGTAATTCGCGCTCATCTACGCCCAAGCTTTCCAGCCAAGCATCATCGTCATCATCCTGGTCGGATATGTGCTCATTATCCTCGGCCTGGCCATTAGCTACCGTAACGCTTGGCCGCCCATCGATTATGTTTCCCTCGCTTTCTTCTGTAAAGCTGCTATTTGAAGCGACGCCATATGCTGCATCCTGCTGTTTGAGTGGCATGCTGAACTCAATGCCTTCTTGTCGGAGAGCGCTGCGCATTCCGCGAGTCGACGGTGTAACAAGGGCATGTGTTTCTGCGCGTCCACCACTGCCTGCTGCTCGAAAGAGCACAGTGAAAGAGTTAGCGCACAAATAAAAGTACGGGCACTGACGTGCTCGCAGAAGTTGGAAAAGTCCGCGAAAGCTATAATCCCACTCTTCTGCAAGGGCCTTTCGCTCTCGCTCGCCAATTGTGATGCCGTTGTTCTCTTTAGCACTGCGTGGATAAAGCGTTAACCAGGGCAAATGAGGATGCTGCCAATAGTAAGTGCATTGATTAAATCGCGTGGCATCTGATATGTCCAACGTACTCTCCGTATGATATGTGTCGAAGCAACGCACAAAGCTTGTCAATCCGCTTGCCAGTTGTGAAGTTTTTAGCTGCGTAGCGGGCAGTTCTGTAGGACAGAAAAACCGCACCCTCGTTTTAAGGCACCAGTCTATGGGGAGATGTGAAGTATGCTTTTGCTGAGCAGCCAGTGCAGCATCAGTTTCCTCATCAGCTTGTGTGACCTTTGCCTGGTGCAATAGTTTGGCAAAAGCCTGGGCATCAAATTTCTGTAGCACTAATTTAGCCGGTGGCGAGTGTTTTTTTGAGGTAAAGCATGTTAAATTGTTGGTCAATGACGTTTGGGCATCGGAAATACTTGAAACGTGTGGTTCATCATGTTTTTGCTTTTTGGCGCCATCTGCGAATCTGTAAATGACTGTATTTGGAGCCAAGCAGCTGATTAAAATAAAACACTCACTTGGCGAATGGGTTTTTGCGCTTTTGGGCTATTTTGGCTTCCAGCAGCTTGCACTTGTCGTTCTCATTCAATTCCGGACGCTTATTGTTGTTGCTGCTCACACGTGCCGCTAGTTGTTTCTTCTTTTGCTTTAATCTTTGTAGTTTTATAAACTGAAATTAATAACATTTTAATAAGCCTTGCATCAGATTTCAAGAAGTTCTTTATACATCATCGGGCCGCGTCCACTTGGAGCTCAAGCTCCCTTCGCTAGACATAATTGCAGTGATTACTGATTACTGTCTGCACTGTCAGAAACCTTAACAGAAGTCCCGCGTAAAATATGTTTCTTGTTTTCATGCAATTTTGCAAAAGATGTCAAAATATTTATATTTATCGATAAGTTAATCGAAAATTTAATGTGCATCTCTGGCCCACAAGAAAGCAGCTGTATTATTTGTAATTCTGTTGATGCCAGCTTTAGCTGTTCATCTCACCTTTTGTCGTTTTTTTGCCTTAACTAATTTGTCACCAAAAGTGTTCTTGCAAAAGTTTAAAAAACAAAACATTTGATTTTTAATTTTTTGCCATATCAAATGGAAATAGCGGCAATATTGGCACTCAATATTGTAGCTTGCTGTAAATATAATTTTATCGACCTGTTAACAGAGAACTAGCCAATTTAGCAGGCAAAGCCGGAAACAGAAGCAAAAACAATTTCGACATTATTGCTAAAATGGACAATGAAGAAAGCAACTTGCACGAAGTTTGCCGTGTGTGTGCCAACAAAATAAAGGACAAGAAGCGCCAGCGGCATATCTTTAATTATTTGCGAGGCAAGTTACTGCAAAATCTGAAGCTCATTACTGGAGTCGAGGTAAGCGAGGTATCGTGATTATTGTTTAAGTTGTGCAATAAACTAATATTCGTTTTGCCGTTGTAGCTGTCGATGAACGAAGGATTGCCCAAATTTATTTGCGATCGATGCTATTCCGAGCTTGATTTGGCCATCAAGTTTCGCGAGCGCTGCATCTTTTCGCAAAAGTATTTGGAGGAAATGCTTACAAAGGTCCGCAAGGACTTTGTAGTAAACACAGCCGAACGGGAGCTATACGAGGACTTGATCGATGAGGAACAGCTGGAATACATTGATGAAGATGTGCAGTTTTTAGAAGATAACGATGTTGGAAATCTATTTGACGACATAAGTGCAGAGATTACTGAGGATGAAGTTGAAGAAACTGGTCATGTAGAAGAGAACGCGGAAGAGGATCAGTCGAGAAGCGAGAAACGGCATTGGGTATTGTTGGAAGACAAACGGCCAGCTAAGCGATTACGCCATTTTTTTATATGCGAAGAATGTGGAGAATATTTTAAGAATGAGTACGATTACAATGAACATAAAGAAGGACATTTGGAAAACAAAGAATCAAAGAGATTCTTTCCCTGTTACAAATGCCCGGCAACCTTCAAAACCAGGATCGCGTTGAAACTTCATCGACGGGAAGAACATTCCGGAGAGCGCAATTTCAAGTGTGCAACTTGCGGCGAAACATTTCTAGAACACAACGCCAAACAGCGCCATGAGAAGTAAGTGGATTACAATTTACAAACTATATAACCAACATCCAACTATCTTGCAGGGCGCACATCAATGAGAGACCTTACCCTTGTCTAGAATGCGATAAAATTTTTACTAGCGTATCGGAGTTACGGGCGCATTCCACTATCCATGAAATGCGAAAATTTAGGTATAACACACCTGTTTGATACGACAGTACACTGGATAAACTTTTTTTCTTGCAGGTGCGAGCCTTGTAACATGGACTTCACAATGCGCAAACATCTCGTAGCGCATTCAAATACATATCCACATAAACGCACAGTGCAGCAAATGCAGGATGAAATTGATATGCTATATGGGGAGACAGAGGAGGAAACGTAGATTATTTAATATATATTTTCAGTATTTAAATAGGTTAGTTGATAATTGCAAAAATATGCTTGTTAAAGTAAGTCAGTAACAGAAGATTTATTTAATATAACGTTAACAAGAGAGAGAAAAAGAGAGAGCTTTCACCAAGGCGCCTGCGCATGGAAGGCCGCTTTTCAACAACATAAGTGGCCTTATAAATGAGGGTACAAAAAGAAATTTGTGTGTATTCAGTGTATTCAACTGGTTGCCACCAGTTCACAGTGACCAGCTCAATATTGTTATACATACAGGTACGGACATACAGCTGGTGCAGCCGAAAAATCAATAAGACCACAAACTTCTACGTAAGCAGTGATACGAGTTTTATAAATGCGCAATATGCTATCGCAGTCAAAAGGTAAGTTGGTTCATGAAAAAAGGGTGCCTATACTTATTAGATACTGATGGAAAAATGGATTTAAATATACTTTAGTTTTCGGCACAATGCTTGGATGCTTTATTTTGCTGGTGTGCAGTGCTTCTCAAGTGCGTGCCTTTGACTCCAAGGACAGCATCTTTGCAGATGTCTTGCTTACCGACTTGCTAAATCGTATGGATAATGATATGCAGGTGGGCTACTACGATGTGGACAATGAAGGAGATTTGGCCGCAGTGGCTGCTGCTGCCGCCAAGGATAATGTGGATTTGGTATCGCGTTCGGAATACGCTAGACTGTGCAATGGGGGCAGCGATTGCTTGCTGCAGTCGAACAATGCACACCCATCCCTACGGGATCAGGAGTTTTTGCAGCACAGCTCGCTTTGGGGACATCAATACGTGTCGGGTGGCATGGGTGAGGTGCCAAATCGCTACAACACTATAGTTAAAACCGATGCCAGCCTGCCTGCCTATTGCAATCCGCCCAATCCTTGTCCCGAGGGCTATGACACGGAACAACAGGCCGGCAATTGCATAAGTGATTTTGATAATACAGCTATCTATAGCCGCGAATTTCAGGCTGCCCAGGAGTGTACGTGTGACAGCGAGCATATGTTTGATTGCGCCGATCAGGAAAACGCTGCTGGCGTTGGCCCTGGTAACAGCGATTTAAATTCGGCTGTGGAGAAGTTTCTCTTGCATCAATTTGGCAACGAGAATGTCCTGGACAATGCCAACGTCGTTGCCAAGAAGGCTGGACATATGCCAGCGCTTCGAATGGATTCTATACCCAATCCTTTTCTACAAGTTGCTCCAGGCGACCGTCTACCAATTGCAGCTAAAAAGGGCAACATGCTCTTCAATTAAATATCCTAAGAATAACTTAGCGCAACATTACTTGGCCACCTAAATATTTGTTGGCTTCTTTAGTTTAAAAATTGTTTATCCACCATTATATATCATAGTCGTTTCTGAATGTTGTCCCATATGCATATATAGAGCTCATAGCAGTTTCGAAGAACCTATAGAAATAAAGTTATTCAGAATAAACTATGGCTTCAAGCCAAAATAAACAAAAATTAACAATTTTCTTTTGATTATACTTATTGTCATTTCATACTCTCAAACTCATATCTTTATTGTTCACAAAAATTCAGTTATTTAAAAGATTTATGTATCTAATTAGGGTTTTCTTGCTGCACTTTCAATCAGCTTTACAATGAGTATTATGTGTCAGCATTCACTGGTATTGTGGTTAAGTCGACAATCCCAAATGGGGCGCCATCATCACAATTTCTTAAATCTAACCTAACTATTGATATAGTATATATATATATATATATATGATATGAATGTTGTTGCCCACTGGGTTTACAATACACTATTCGAAAACACTGGCAGTGTGATTAGCTTAGCAAATATTCGTTGTGCATTGACAAGGCTCCTGCAATGTCCATTATATATACAAGTAACCAATACATGTATTGACTATAAACTCAATTTTTTTTTTGTGAATTGCTCGCTTTACACTAAACTAGAAAGATTTAAGAGTTTTATGATCATGAGTAGTTTACAAACGCCCCGTATTATTGCCGTTTACATTTTGACCCCAAGACACTTGATGCGGATTCCGAGTCGTCAAACGTAGGGAGTTACCGTCGCCATCTTCATCGATGACATGCTCGTAGCCTTGATTTATGGTACCACCGCCGTTGGAACCATAAATTTGCTGATACAATGTTAAAGTATTAAAATGCTGATCTATCATCAATATGCATTCTGTCTGTTACTCACCTCAGCTGGTCCACCATTCACATTGAACACATCCTTGATGCTAATGCCTGCATTGGACACGCGGCCGCTACGCTGATTGGGCAAGGCCCCATTGTTATTGAGCTATTACGTAAAAAATCATATTGTTTAAAATGTTATGTTGAATTCGTGGTAATCCTTACCGGTGGCACTGCGGATATACCGTACTCATTTTTGGCACCCAGGGTTTGCATAGCCGATTTGCGTCGTTCTGCCATTACGGAGTTCTTCCTGACCTCCAGAGCTCGTATGGTCTCAGCTCGCATGGTCAGTCGACGTGTCAGTATTGGTGTGGCTGGATTGTTCTCTGCATCAGCTGTTAGTTTAAGAAACCGTTTCTTAAAGGCGACATCCAAGGTGCCGATTTGACGTCGCGGCTGCCGTGCTTTTTCTAAATTTTGTATGGTTTTGCGGCGTGCTATGCGATCGGGCCCCGAGCCCGAGTCATTATCATAGTCCCCATCAATGCCTTGTAAGCGTTGCAGATTCTTAACAATCTCCACAGCGTGCTAGGGGGAATACATCGGTCAGTACAATTAACAGATAACATATTTGTTTGTTTTTTTTTGGGCACCTTGTCTATAAGTTGATCTTGTGTTAGATCCTCTGATTTCTTTTTGCAGAAATTCAACTCCGTAGAGGCCAAGATGTGCGAAAGTGTGCCAAATCGATGGAACAGCATGGCCGTAAATTGTATAACCAAAATTAAGGCAAAAAAGAACACAAAAACCAGACCAATCGGTTCTAGCTGTAGATACTCCTTGGAGATGTGCACCTGTGCGAAAGTGTAGCAAGAAACCGTATTACAAAAAAATTTAACTATACATCATTTTTTGTTAGTAACAAATTAACAAATGAAGAGTTCTTCAAATTTGATTTTATGTTTACGTTCGGGTAAATGGCAGAACATTGTAACAATTGGTCGGTGATAGTGCTATGTTTATGTGTGTGATACCATATAAGTGTGTTATGTGAATGCCATGCATGGCTCCAGCATGTATATTATTGTATATATACATCTAGGGGTTTATTATATATAGTATATCTTGTTGTTGAAATTATGGCATAGGTCGTACAGTTTACCGTGTTGAGGGTTAACTGTTAGAATCAGATTTGATGGCAATGTGTTGTTGCTATTGTTGTTGTTTCTGCGTTGATATGATATATTTTTTATTGGTGATATGCCACAACCATTAGGATGGGTATCAATAAATAGGAAAAAACATAGGAATGCCTTATAAACATATAAAAATATAGGTACACACATATATAAAAAATTAGAAACATCTGTTGGGTAAGTATATATGTAACGTGACGTATGTAAGGAGCACATTAAACATATAGTGTAGGAGAAAGAAAGAGAACAGAAGGAAGTTAGAGGTCCCTTGAATAGGTATAAGATAAGTTACACATACTGAACGACACAGAACAAAACGGGTTTTGGTAGTAGAAACATAAGTTAAAGTTTGATTTTAATTGTATAGAATTATAAACCTCAGATGTCTCTTCGATATACGTAATATTCGTTTTGACGCCCAACGGCCATATAATATGCAGTTTATCCTTATTCAATTGCAATAAGAAGACAATCAATACGAATAAGGCGTTGGCCATAAAAAACGCAAAGACCGACTTATTGCGCAGCTCAATCAGATCGGAGGCTATGCGGGCCTGAGTTTGGCGACCGATCATTCGGATTCACACAGTTATATGAGAGAAATAGAGAGAAAAAAAAAAGAAAAATGTTAGTGGTGTTTGCGAAAGACTCAATTACCTCCTGGGTGGACTCGTCATAGGTGATATTGGTGCGCACGCCAAAAGGCCATTTGACGTGAATGTTGTCCTTATTCAATTGCAGCAGGAACACGATCAACACGAACAGGGCATTGATCATAAAAAACGCGAACACCGACGAGTCGCGCAACTCTTTGAGGTCTTTAGCTATACGTGCCTAAAAGTATTTTATCGGCAGGTGGTAGGTAGCATAAAACATAGTTGACCCTATTAATCCTATCATAACTTATTTAGTCTTACCTGTTCCACAGGATCATTATCAATGGGGTATAGGTACTGATCGATGAGGTCCTTCCAGAATTGAATTTCCGAACTTGATAAAAAGTCCACCTCACCCTTGCGGACATCAGGATCCTCGATCCAATAGGGGTTTGTCAAAAAATCACGTTCTTGCTTGGGTTCTGCCGAGGTATCTGAATCCGACTCATCGGATTCGTCACCCGATTTTTCAGCTACCGACGTAAGCAAATGATGATCCTTGGAGCCACTAGACGTCGTGCGACGTCTATTATGACGGGAAGCATGATGACCATGTGGATCCACAGCGCTCTCGATGGTGTCAATGCGTGTTTTGATTGTATCCAGGGACTCGGCAATGCTGGTCAGCTGCTGCTTCTCGTCTGACGTTTTTCCGTGGGTGCAAAAAACGCAACGGAATAGACCAGCTAACGAAAACTCAATGGATCCCTCCTCATCATCATTATCGCCTATGCCACTTTGTAGGAAGCCTAACATGCTTTTTTGTTTTACTCGCTTCTTGGCTTCCTCAGCGGCTTTCTTTTCCGCCTCCAATTCCTTTTTGGTCTTTTTGGCGACAACCTCCCGAGTGCCCCAGGAGACGACGTTCAAATTGATGATAGAGTAAAGAATAAGGAGCAGATACATGGATGGTATTGATAATAAATATATTAAGCCGCATGTTATACACCAAAATTCTTGCGGATGCAAACATGCGGCTATGAAGAATGAGCCCACCATTGATATCAAAAAGATGGCCGAGGGCGAACCTATTCCGTCCTCTCCCAACTGCAGTGCTGTGCCCACTATGACAGCCATCATAATGAGGGCATAGCAAGTGGATAGTACCTGGGCTACAAAGAGTTGAATATTGGACTTGCACGTGAAACAAATGACCATAAAGGCCAGAATAGGTACAATGTTGTAATGGAAGGACGTCCAGTTATCAATTCGGAAGGCGGCGACAAAGGCACCCACTAACATAAGAAAGATCGTTCCAGGTCCCAAAATGGTGCCACCCATCAACATCATCTGGTAGAAAACGTACAGCAATGAAATGTTATCATTTATCTTAATTGTGCGTTTCGCATCGCCAAGAAGATCCATGATGTTTGCTATAGTGGAAGGCACCCAGCGACGACGCTGATTGTAGAACTCGTTAAAGCCCTCTGGACAATGGGTGTAGGCGTCCGACGCAGCTGAGTACTCCACACGATATCCACGCTGCAGCAATAAGGTACACAGCCAGCGATCCTCGCCCTGATCATACTGTACATAGTGACGTGCTTCTGTTGGTTTAGTTGTATACTTTTTCATCACATTATCATCCATCAGTGCCTTGCCACGGAACAGTGAAAAGCAGCCGGGAGAACAGAGCACACATCCAATCATGTGCTCAGTTGCCTTTTGCAGCCAATGACCGATCGCGTATTCAAATAGCTGATACCACACCATGGGTCCAGATCCCACGGGATGAATACGTCCGCATGCAGCGCCTAGATTTCGGTTTTTCTTCATTAAATCGACCAACAGGGTGACAGCATTCGGCTTGAAATCAATATCACCATCAAGGGTGAGCAGATAAGTGTTTTCCGCAATGGCGTCCTTGCGATCAACCGAGATTGGTAGCTCCATTAGCCGATGACCAAGCAAATAGTACATGTACATAACTTGCGACCACCGCTTTCGATGACGTATCCGATCCTTATCTTTAAGATGTGCAATGAACTTTGTTTTGCCAGGTAGGGTCCATACTAATCGGCCGCCATAGGGTGTTGGATATTTTTTGGGTGGTCGCAATCGAATTGTTGTCTGATGGATCTCAGAGGCGGCTTCATCCATGGTACCAATCAACAGCTTTACAAAACGATTGCATTGAATATCATCGTCACTATGATCCGAAATCTCAAAAGCATCATCGAAAAAAATGTGAGCTGTAAGAGTATTATTAATTGTAAGAAGGAAGGTATCATTGATATTAAAGTACGAGAAAGAAAGGCTATCTTCGCCACGCCGAAGATTTAATAAACTTGCAGACCCAGCCTTTTCATAATGCTCATAGTGCTTTGCACAGGGAAAATTAATATGGCCGAGTTTGGTCAAGATATCTTGATGAACAAAAATGTTTTTTTACACAACTTAATTTTCGAACGATCGTTCCTATTGCGGCTATATGAAATAGTGCTCCGATCTTAATGGGATTTTGCATATATATGAGAAGCATAGTCAAACTAATAAATGCCAAGGTTGGTCAAGATATCTTGACAAACAAAATATTTATTCACACAACAACTAAATTTTCGACCGATCGTTTGTATGGCAGCTATATGATATAGTGGTCCGATCCAGCTGGTTTTCACATATGTGCTGTGTGCAACAAAAAGAGGGACTTTTGCAAAGTTTCATAAAGATAGCTTAAAAACTGAGAGACTAGTTTGCATAGAAACAGACAGACAGACATGGCTATATCGACTCGACTGTTGATACTGTTCAAGAATATATATATTCTTTATGGGGTCGGAGATGTCTCTTTCTATGGGTTACATATTTCACGACAAAATTATAATACCCTCTACAAGGGTATAACAATAAGATAACTTACTCTCAAACTCATAATAGTCTGGATCCAGCACTCGCAAATACTTTTGGGCTACACGTCGAGCGCACTGATCCTCGTCCATTCGCATAATACTTTTCAAGAACTCGATCATTTCATCTTTGGTTTCATGCCACATAGTGGCGCATGTGTAAATACGAGTTATATTATCTGAAGATTTAATCGAGGGCTTGTTCGGCGCCGAGGAGCGATCGGTATGTACTGAAATAGTCTCATAGTACTCATCACCCTTTTCCTTTTCAATGTCCGACAGATCCTGTAATTAGTATGGCATATAAAATCGGGGACAAATTTAAATTAATCTCAAGTTACCTCAGTTTTGACATCCGCTTGGTCATCGCGCCTTCTATTTAATGCCATGGACTGATCGATTAGCAAAGCCGAGTACATGGGTCTCACGAAGAGTTTTTCGGTTGTTGCTAATCTCTCGCACTTGGGCGTCCAAATGTGTAGGGCAATCCACGTTTGGCTGAGAAGCCACAATATCCAGGCCCACGCCATTTGCTCAGTGACAAAATTATTAAATCTAAAGTTGGACGGACTGGTAAAGAACAGATAGTCCGGTATAGTATCGTGGAAAAAGCAAGGATCATCAATACGTATGCCACACGCTGCAATCAGGAATGATACAGCAATTGGAACGGTAAGGCTCACAGGGAAGGCATAGCTGAAACCCTGTATAAGAATCTTGCAAGCAAACTTTCCGAATATGTAGCATAAATAGGCTCCAAAGATCTGCAGGAGCAGAACATATACCACCGTGTTGTAGGCGGCATCCACATCTACCGTATCTATGTTGGCTGACTCTAAGGTGTCGGGTAGCACTCCACCTAAACCGGCCGGTAGCTCATAGACAATTATCTTATGAGGCCCAAATGCATCGCCGTAGAGGCTGAACAGATTACTGGGCTCCTCGCCGTTTGCCCAATATATGAGCAAAGTGACACAGAAGAAAAGCAAAATCTTCCATATTGAAAGGAACATATGACAAAAGTAACGCGTGTTATGCATCTCCTCCTTGATGCGTCCCAGGGCACGTACGATGCCAAGCGGTGACTGCGCAGAGACGTAATTCTCCCACCAGCCACATGAGATCATTACGCAGGCCACCGGTATAACCCAGAGTTCGCGCCGGTTCTCCAGTAGGGGCCAGATAACCAGGCCGGTGACCTGCGCTGCAATTGCAGCCAGATCGATGATGACTTTAATGAAGCGTTTACCCTCCTTGGAGGTTCGCGAAAGCAGTCCAAAAATGCCAGGTATCACGCAGAGGCAGTTGGTTAACATTGCGCCTTGTATAGCATCAATCTGCGGCAGCACGACAAACATCAACAACGCTGTGCCCAGTGCGCTAAAGCTCTCCATCATCCAGACGAACAAAAAGTGTCCTGTTTTCGGTACCTTGAAAGTTTTGAAAAAGCAAATTCGCACCGATCGAATCAGCGAACCGATCTCGGGAAGGGAATATGCAATCACTAGCGCCCATATCCAGGCAATACGCTCCTCCTCAGGTAATCGCACAACGAAGGTTTTATCGCGGCCCTGTGTAGAAATTGGCATTTGTATTGATTAAGTGACAGAATCACGTTTGCCTTACCAAATCCTTATTGCAGTATTCAATCTTGCGATCCTTCCGCACCTGCGAGGTCATAAACAGAACTGTTCCTTTGGCTATAACGCCACCGGTTAAGACTATGATAAAGGTGAATATGTAGGCGAAGATTTTTAAAATCTTAATAGTTAGCTCGAGACACTCTTGGTTTGCCGTTGAGCCGGTCTCAATTTTAATTGGAGGATCACGAAATACATCCCAGCCTTTGGTTTCCTGTATTGTGCGTTGGCTAGAAAGCAGATTTTAAAATAATTAGAAGCCGGAAATCAATGAAGCTGATGGCTGGAAAAGTTGTATTATCGTCATATTTTTTGAAAGTTCAGTTTGAGGGTTAAGAAAAGGCGTAACTTCCAGTTTTCAATTGCTGAGAGTAATTGTCATTGGAATGGCTACACATTTCATTGAAAGAAATTGTTGAGCAGCGGCTGCTCAAGATTTGAGAGAAGGCGGACCGCTATAGATGTGGGAACGGCAATTAATGTTGTTTGTATGGATCGCTTTTGTTCCGGTTTGTTATTGCAACATCAAATAATAATATTTCGACCTTCACATTTCTGGCTGCTCCCGAGAAACCCTCCAACTATTTGCAGCATTGTAAGACTTACCTGCCTCCATAAATATCGTGTGTCAATGGTGAGCTCTCGTCGTCGGTGAAGTTGTTGTCATCGCTATCGCCATGCTCCCCAGTGGCTGGCGGAGCCATCGGGCGATGCCGCACCGCAGACATCTCCCACGGTTATTGCGACCGAGCCCTGCTGTTTGGAAGTGCTCAATCTTGAAGTCAAACTGTTGCTGAAGTGGAAGTGAAAATTAATTGAGTCCAGTTATAATGCACGCGAATTTATCGCAATTCTGTAAAAGCAAGCTATTGTACATGTATAGGCTTTCAAGGACTTCCAACCGGTCCATCGAGCCTGAAGGGCAGGTCTGGCATATACGTGAGTCATGATCATCTAAAATAACTTACTAAACAAAGGGGAAAGAGAACCGCCAATTACTGTGTCTTTTGTCCAAGATTACTTTAAATCAAATGGACATATTAAGTAAAATAAAGAAATCGAGCATGATCTGTGGGCAAGACGCATGTGCCTGAGCCGGGCATGTGTATCGGATGTGCCTCAGCTGTTCCACTTTGCACGGAACTAAAGCGTTTGCCAATTTGAATTTATGGTAATTACGAGCACGTATGTTGTTGCATGTACAAATACCTACTCATACATTGTTCTTCTCGAAGGCCTTGTGCTACATTTTAGCAGCACCGTATCGGATTTCTGTTAGCCGTGGGGAAGCGAAGCACGATATAAAAAAATTAAATAGATGCTGATGACCAAGCGATCGCAAGTTGAAATTCTAACAAGGATTAGGCTGTGCATCGGCAACTTATGAACCCTTAAATTTAATGTTTTTTTGACAATTTACTTTGCAGTTTTGATAAAAAAACAAAATAAAACTTCCTAAAGCACTAGTTAAAACTGTTGATCGGAACAAAGCCAGCATTCCTTAAAATCTCCGACTTGAACTCTCGATGTCGTAAAACGCCTCGGAGGATTCTTCGCCGCGTACATCGTAAAAGCAATAGGAAGAAGCACTTGGCAGGGTTCCTCTATAATGACCATGTACAATGCCAGTTAATGTGGCTTGGAGTTTGACTTTGGTGGCAACAGCAGGTGCAGAAACCTTTTGGGTTCTAAGATTACTGAATGAACTGCAAGGATTGCTTGCGACATTCAAGGGAATCGGTCTGCGAGTATTTTGTGCCTTGGAGCCTTCTGAATCTCGCCGACTTGTTATGAACGCCTTAGTAGATTTGGGCGGTGGCAGTGAATGCTCAATATGTGGTCCTTGATTAGTTTTGGTTTTAAAAGAACTCCCAGACTTTTGATTTACTGGCGTCGGCTTCAGAACTGACGGTGGCGATCGATTCTTGGGGCTTGGTTTCAATATAAAGTTAAGTAACTCATTGTTGGTCTTGTATGTTTCAAAGAACTCGATCATTTGAGCCCTAGTTGATTGCTTGATCTGTTTGTCCCTACTCCTATCTTTCGCGGCCATGTGACTACCCTTGGCTACATTTGACGGCTTAATTTCAACCAGTTGCGTCAACGGAAGCAAGTCGAAAACAAATTTGCGATTTTGAAGTTTTAACATATCCTGGATGGTATTTGGAATTTTAGACTTCTTTTGCTTGGGCATTGTTTTGGTTATGTTGTGCTCTCATGGACCCGGTATTATAATTCGGTTGTACAATTTTGAGTCTGGACAGATTAAAAAACAAAGATTTATTTTTAAGATTTCTATAAGGTAGATTAAAGCAAAGGTATGTAGACTAGTAATAATCCACAATTTGCAATCTGTTGGCTAGCCGGGAAGTTCGGTTAATTAAATGGAGCGGTTATATTTCCCAGGCATAAACTGAATTTAATTATATAATACAATAATTCAATAATAGGAAATAGGCCGTTGCTTATAGAAAAGCCAAAGATGCTGTTGGCCACCTGGCGCCTGCGCAGAAGACGTCGACATGGGGTCATCAACTTTATAGTCATATGATTGCAACCCCCAACAATAGTCGCAGCTGCTGTAGTCACAGCAACCCTCATTGCAATGTTAAGGGTAAGGGTGGATAGTCATTGTATGTGTTAGGATGCTTTAGACTGATTATGGTTTTGCTGCGTGCCTCATTTGCTATTTATAAGGCCGCAACAAACGCCGCTTTACAACGGGACCGTGTGGCCTAATGGATAAGGCGTCGGACTTCGAATCCGAAGATTGCAGGTTCGAGTCCTGTCACGGTCGTTTTTTTTTTTATGTTTCTTTTCAATTTTTTTTATTCGCTCGTAAGTGTATATTTTTATTTTTAGAAAATGCAGACCTACCCAACTTAATTTTTTTAATCACAATATTTAATTAAGTTAGTATACATAAAATTTTTGTTGGGTATATTTAAACTCTCCTCATACTCCCTGCACTAGGCGCTATATATCCATTTTTTCCTCTTACATATGATTCATTTTTCGTTGTCCTGCTCTATGTCTCCTGCGCTCTCTGCTTCTTTTCCGTTTATAGTGATGTGTTTATATTAAAGACTGTTTCACAGTGAATGTGATTTTTGCATAAGCTCGAATTTTTAAATACATACCAACGGATATAACCCGACGTTACTCTTGGCAATTATTGTACTAAAAGTGCTACATGTTACATGCACTTGGATATTTAATTTGAATGCGAAATTACACTCACCAAAATTTGCCAAGGTCCCGCCCTAGCGCGCCCTTTCTTTTCAGAGGAAAGAAGTTTAAGTTGATTGAACTGACTTGACACATTGGTCATTAAACAGTTCACGTAGTAAGTCTAGTAAATCCCTAGTTCCAACCGACGAAAAAGTAAATAAAAACACAAAACGTGCTGGTCATACCAAATGTGAACTAAACAAAGAGATTTTCCGTTGAAAACTTATTATGCATTCATGCCAACACTATGAAAAGTGTATGAATGTGTCTACAGCTAGAAAAGTCGACCAGCAAAGGATTAAATACCACAATTCAGACTAGACGCAGCCAGCACTAAAGTTAGATATCTCCGATAAGCGACCGGTTTTACAGTCTCAAGTAAGAGAAAAGCAACTCCAGTAGGCCTTGGGCTGGCTAACAACAAGAAACTGGTCATTCAAAAGATACAATTTACCCTTAGCAATGCCATAGTTGCAGGCGTAAGTATTTTCGTGGACAGCACTGGCCTGAATAGACTAAAGAATTATTTTTTTTTATAAATATCATATCTCCTAGTGCTGTGGGCGCTAGTGATCAAATTATCCAAGTGAACGGTAATGGCTAATGCCTAATTCATTATGGCTCTGAACACAATATTCATAATAAACATTTGAGCAATATATATGTATTTCAAACTGTTGAGTTGTGCATTGCGATTCAAGCAACGACTTAAATGCCGCACAGTCCAGCAAATACAATGGCAAGAAAAAGTGAAAGTCTAAAAAATGTTATAATAAAAACAATCTATGAATAAGATACTACAAGCCGAGACCCAACAGCAACAGCATTGCCGTCATGCCAACAACAACTCAGTGGTTGCAACTGTTGCTGGCTGCTGGTTGAAATTGATTGCTACATTTAACAACGGAAACAAAATCGAACCAATCGAACCAAACGTGTCCAAACCGGCCACGCCAAGCTGTCCGGCTGTCCGGCAGTCCGACAACTGAGTCCAACTTGTATTATAAGCGTTGCTAACCAACCAGTTTTTAATAGAGTACCACAGGAACAGTGAGCGACTTGAAACGTATGCGAAAAACATGCCCAAACATAAAAGATAAAAGTAGCAACAAATGCTGTCAGAATAGTGACATAGGAAGGTAATATGGACTAAACCGGATTATACAATTGTTTTAAAGTAATTCTGAACTAAATGGAGAATAGTTCAGGTATATCGGTTTCAGGTATTTGCGCTTAACATATGGTTTTTACATATAAGCAGAGCTAGTGCAATTCTTGAATTCCCCATGCAGTTCAACAAACCTCAATTTCCTTTCAAGACCTGTCAATTAAGAGTTTTTGCTTCGCCAACTCATTGAGTCAAGTTCCAGTCACTTATTATCTGCCATCATAATACTGTTATGCAGATACACATAAATAAATTCAAGACCTCAACCAACTCTGACTCACAAAATTTGAACGGCTCGTACGCCTTCCACTGAATTCCATCCGTACTGAATGCCTTTTTTGCCCATAACTAAGGACTCTCCATACAATATGCATATGTACTTTAATTATGCACCATGATTCACAAAGTTTACTCATAACCAAAAAAGTGGTTTTTACGCTATGCGTAACTTAATTTTTATCTGGTGTTAAGCTTTGGGCTTCACCCATTACCAATTAACATTAAAGAGATAAATTATATTTTGATTATTGGATAGCTCCTTTGCATATGAACGGTTTTCGCCTTTTCAACTTTACGTAAAAAAAATCAAAAACAGTTATCAGTCCAAATCTGTCCGATTTGAGCAATAAACATTGAATATTTGCGGAGACATTTTAGCTGAGCGCAAGAGAGACGTTGTCTAAAATTTAAATAAGAAAGACAAACAGTAGAGAAGAGAGCCAAAAAAAATATATGGAGAGCGAGAGAGAGAGAGAGAGAGGCCGACTCACTGCTTGTATATCTCCACAAAGAAAAAAACATCGTCTTGGTTTCTTGGCTTGCATGTAGGCGGTTCGGCCTTTAAAATTATGCGAAAATTGACTGGCACAGATTAAAAATGCCAATTAGATGAACGCCCTGGATACTTTTAGTAAGGATTTGATTTAGTGAATTTTAACCGTTGATGCCAGCAACAGCTACTCCATCTATATAGTTAAATGTTTTTTAGTAATGCTCTGCTAATTAAGGTTTATAATTTATAGAACAACTTGTTTTAAAGGTGTGTTTGTGTCTCTCTTTATATTTTTACGAAACGGGTTTTGGTACACAACGCAAAATCATACCGAATTTAAATCGCAAAATAGCTCGTTTTTATTTTGTCTGCAGCTTATAAAAAGCAAAAGTGTTGCCAGAGTCTTAAACAAAACCCGTTAGTCAGCAAAAAAAAAAGAAGTGAAAGAAAAATAAATCTTAGCTAAACAGAAAGAGACTACTGAATAAACGAGAATGAGATTGTGCTTTGTATTTGTCTGGCGCATAACTTTCACATATAAAAATGTCCCGTTTGATGCCACTGCGAATGACTACAAAATAAAAAGACCAAGAGAAATGATATTAGCTTCGCGGTAACTACAGTAAATCAGCAGAAGTGAATGCTGTTATGAAAGTTAAGAGCTTCTTCAGAGTAGACTGCTCTTAACAATTTCAAAGCACTTTTTCTTTGTTTTCACTTAACATATACACTTTTGACCTTTGCATACATATGTACATTACACTTTTCTGTACTCTGCTAGGATTTCTGTACACTCTTAATAAATAAATTTTTACACACACATATATGTATTTTTATTTTTCTCGAATCGTCTGCGTGGCTCAAAACATTTGAAATACAAAATGTATTTATCATTTAATTTCTTTCGTATTATTCGTTATTTCTTTTACTTAACCGTTGCCCGAGTTGTGTTGTTTTTGTTGTAGCTGTTGCATTAAACTTTTAGCCAACCATACACAAATACATGTTTGCATATGTATGCATGTACATGTACATGCATACGTATACGCATGCGCGCACGTACCGTTTATGAGAGCGAGCCCCAGACGTCGACGTGATATTTGCTTTCAGCCTTTTCTTTTATCCGCGCAAAGCTCTTTTCGAGTTCGTTGTCTTCGCCAAACTAAATTGAAGTCTTTCGTTTGTGCTTATTGGAAGTGGACGCAACTGTGGCTCTGGGCATGACTCTGATTGCTACTTCTTTAGCTGAAGCCGTTTGCAACTGGAAGTCAAAAATGAGCGTGGTGGATTGTTGAGTTTTTCTTGTTAGCTTGCTTTGCTCTTCGGTTCAGTTGGCTGTTGTCGTTGTAATGGCAATGTATGGCACACTTTAAGAAGTTTTTACTCTCTTATTTTCACTTTTTGTTTATCTCTTTTGCTAGCTAGGTTGTAAACATAATTCTTTCTATCCAGTGAATATAAGGTTTGTTGTTTGCTGCACAAATACATGTTTTTTGCGACAACTTTGTCGAGGTCATCTGGTTTCGTTTTCTTGTACCCTTTACCAATTAAGACAATGTGAAAGAGAATGATGAAGCTGTGCAAACCAATGTTATTGGCAAAATATATCCGAACGCAAATAATATATATTTATTATCCGAATGTTGACTGAGGATCAATTATCAAAAAATGTATATTGTAGTATCTTTTATAGAATATATGTATTATCAAGTTTATTTTACTTAATTAATATCGCATCCGCTACACCGTAGTTTTTTATTTTATTTTTTAGCGACGTTCGCCATTCTCTGCGATTGTCATGCCAATAATAAAACCTATATATGATGGACCAGGCACTTTCTTTATGATATCCATAAATTCAAGTAATACGACTTAAGTTTATAAGTAGTAAAATTAGCTCTCTTTGCGATGACATGTACTGAAGTATTTTCTGGTAACGTAATTCAGAATTGGGTAAGGAGCATCTAATAGTCGAGCATTTTCGAGAATAAGCTCAACATTGCTTGTTTCTCTCTTTGACGGCAACAAATTCAGTCTCTTATTAATCTCTGTTTTATTGGTAAATGCTACCTCTCCTCATGGGAAGCAGATAATCAAGCGATGCAATAGGAAAAGCCAGCTGTTGGAGCCTGCTAACGTAAAGCGAATGACCAGCGCCTGTTTAATAAATTATTTGTTTTAAAATAGATTAATAAGGAATAATAAAGAAAACAATTGAGGAAATATCGTCTCTAATGGGGGAGGATAATATATTAAAAAATATAATATATTAAAAAAAACAATTCCATTTCGATTTTATTTCTTCTTTCTAACGCCCAAAAGCTTCCAACTTATAGCGGAGAGCTGACAAACTTTTTAAAATACGTTTAAATACATTCGATTAATATCGATTGGAAATCATGAGAAAATTCGGTCACATTACATTCGGATTGTTACGGCTCGTTAATTAACTTTATTAAAAAGCCAGCTGTTAGCTTCAAATTAAGCTACAATTGAATTTTAATCGAATTGTATTTAAAAGTTTAATTCATGATACATAACAATTTCCTAGAAAAATGGCTGTTTCCCATTAGTACCAGTATAATTGTATTATTTAGATGTTAAGCGAATGCATTATAAATATACAGTGACAGTGAACGATAAAATGTAATCGAATTACCTATGTGATCTGGTTCTTTAGTTCAGTACAGTGAGTTTTTTGATCGAACTATATGAACGGTTCTTTATAACTCTGGCCACACTGCGTTAAAATTGTATGTCGCATTGTTCGGCTGTTGCTCGTGTAAAAATTATAGAAATTACACAAACGCACACACCGTAGCCATAAAAACATCTTTTAATGTGAGTAAAAGAACAAGGACGGAACAATGGGAGCCTGTGTATGTCGCATGAATCCCGACAATGAGACAATGAGTGTCTCCTCGGCGAGCGCTTCGCGTCCGGCCAGCGCAGGTGAGTTGCCTATCCACATCAACATCAATTTGCATCCATTATCAATGTGAAATGCTTTGTTATTGTATGCGTCACATAGGAATCGCTTTGGGGGGCGCTGCGCGCAAGAATCGTCCACTATGCCATGAGACCATTAAGTGGCGCTCGGACGTCCCGTTAACCGAAGGTCAACTGCGCTCCAAACGGGACGAGTTTTGGGACACTGCTCCGGCATTTGACGGGCGAAAAGAGATTTGGGATGCGCTTAGAGCTGCCACAAATGCAGCTGAATGTCTGGATTTTCAAATGGCCCAGGCCATATTAGATGGCGCTAATGTGTCCGTGCCCAATGGGTGAGTTTAACTAGGTGACTTCTATCAAATAAATCAATCCCCTCCGCTCCATCGCGGCTGCATTAAATACTAATTACTCTTGACGCCACCAACAAAAAATCAATAAAATGTGATTAAGTTGACCATATAACTCTATTGATGCAATCCCACAATACTTTGCATGCCTTCAGTTTATTAACTAACACTACAGAATTAAATATCAATCTAATTAAATTCGAAACATGGTGTGGAGAGTGAATTAAAAGAACCCAATTGTTTAGAAGACTGAATATTCAAATTCATTTTTTTTTTTTAAATTTGTATTTGTTTTGTGTACATTAAAAAGGAAAAAAGTATGTGACGACAACTTTTGGACTTAAGGTATACATAATCCATATTTGATTGACAGTCAAAAAATGCTGTTTTTAATTTGCTGGTACACATCGTATCTTAACATTTCACAGTTCAATCTTTTTAATTATGCTCTGCTGTTAATATAATTTGATCTAAAACAATGTTTGGTAACTTATTGGTGGCAATATATATATAATATCCTTCTCTTGCAGCTACCTCACAGAATGCTACGATGAGCTGGGTACACAGTACAAGGTGCCCATTTATTGTCTATCCTATCCCATTAACATTGTAAAGGAGGAGAATGGGCGCGACTCGCCAGCTGAATACTCAGAGCCCGTCGATGGCGGAACCGAAATCTTTCTGAAACTGCGCATATCATCGACCATGACTGATGTTAAACTGCCGGTATACTCAAAAGATACGGTGGGACAGTGCAAGAAAAAGTTGCAGGTGAGTGAGAACAAAACTATTTTATCGATAGAGCTTATAAATTATTATTATTATTATTATTTATTATTTTTAATCACGCAGTCGGTAGAGGGCGTCGATGCATGCTGCCAACGTTGGTTCTACAGCGGAAAGCTGCTAGGCGATAAAGTACCCATTGATGAGTGCAGCATACACCAGGGCTATGTGGTGCAGGTCATTGTTAATACAGAGCACTATAATCACGACAACAGCACGAGTATCGTTCATTTGTCGCTTGCGAGCTAGCAATACACCAACTCCATACTAGTCAACTTAGGCATCAACAGCAGCAATAAGCTTTGTGAAAAACGGCAATTGGCTAGCAGTGACAACAACAACAATTCCAAGCACTCCGGCAATAACACAAAGAGCTTTAATGTAAAGCACAAAGAACCAAAACAAAAACATCGACAACTAATGTATTGCATTTATCTAAAGCACACGCGAAATGCCAATAGTTATGTTTTGTTTTTATATCAGCTTGCCTTATTGTTGTTCTGGTTGTTGTTGTTGTATTGCTATTGCGAAACATACAATTCTGAGCAAATACAAAAAATTAATGAAAAATGCCTATAAATATAAAAATTAAACATAAATACATATATTTTTTTGATAATAATTATGTATGTTAACAAAATTAAGCAGTCGCTATAAAGAATAATTTGTATAAGCTGCTGTATTGAGTAGTAATATTCAAATATGCGCATGAAATTCACAATTAAAAATCAAATAAACAAATGTACATTTCTCATGAAATCAAAAACAAAACTAGAACTGCAAATTCAGAAGATAAACGTATAATAATAACAAATTGTTTATTAACTAATTATACGCAAACATTTGTATGTATTGTAAAAAAAATACTGTAGTATTTGGCTGTAATGAAAATCAAAGCAAACATTCGCTTAATGTGTCGAAATACTACATCAACTTTTGATACTGTACAAGAAAGCATAAATGTAAAAATGTTGGAACGCCGAGCACAAATTTAATGTAATAATCTTTAACAAAAACAAATGAAATTCCAAAAGAAATTGTTAAATTTAATTCTTGCTCAATGTAGTTAACACAATAGTATAAAGTGGTTGGACAAGGAAACGTTAATATCGGATAGAGTAACCCAAGTACCTTATAAATGTATATGATTTTTGCTTATAGTTTTAAAGCCATAACAGAAATACAATGAAGTGCTTATTTATTTAAAAAAAGATTCTAGTTTTGTATGATTTTCGTTTAAATTATTTATTGCAATATTGAAAAGCACTACAAATTGAGACCATGCGATATTAGATTGAGCAATCGCTGTTTAACGCAACAAATGGAATACAATAAATGTTAGCTTTTATAATTATTTAAAATATACTTTTGTCTGGAAATAGTAACGAACAATATAAACAGTTACTCCGCACCGGCATGTCTTTGCCATTTAATGTTTATGTGTACTATTTTTTATGCATTTTTTTTTTAAATTTTAATAACTGTAATATATAAAAAAAAAATAAAATGGAATTGCGAGTCAAGCATTCTTTATCCACGCGCATCCATTTTTTGCAATAGAGTCAGGAACGAAAAGGCTGTTGTAATAGTCTGTAAGACAAGGAAGATCGATAATAATATGAGAGGTATGTTAATATGTTATTTCAATATTGAAACACAGCACTTACAGATCTCAATCGGTCCACATTCAGATTGTATATTTTTCCAGCAGTCAGTCGAAAGGTTCGACGGGAATTTATCAAGAAAATAATATAATCGCTGCGCAACTGACGCAAATGCAGTTGCCAAGGACTTCGCAAGAGTGCATCTCCACATCGTTGACTATTCTGATACACAACATCAGCAAAGTAACAAATGATAAAGAGCTCATAGAGGACTAACAGCAGATACTGGCCCAATGACACCATGCGCATCAATGAATTGACCGTAGTGCTCTTTATTGAAACAAAAGCCACCAGGCACATAAGAAAAGTAACCTCGGCGATTTTGAACAACCAAATGGGATTATAGAAACTTTCCATTTTTTGCAGAATTGATATAATATAGTGATGTTGCTCAACACATCGCTTTAATGAGTGGTTGAATGCGGTGGGAAAGCTAGTAATTTTGTTTGGTTTTTGTTGCTGCATAAGTTTTTCCAGTGGAGTAGTAATTTCGTGGGAGTAGCAAAATTGATTTAACTCGACATCCGCCACAGATTGTGCTTTTCGGAGTTTACTGTGAAATCGATAAGGTAAAATTTATTGCATGATTTTGTATTGTCTAATATGTAAGGAAATAACCTTAGTTCGGCCTTATTGGCACCCATCTTCAAATAACTAGTAGCTAGAATATTTTTCAAGCTACAGGACAATAAATCATATTGGCCAGATATTACTATACCTAGAACCATATGAAATCCACTGGAAGAAGCAAAGGCGGCAGCCACTTGAATCTGTCCGACAGCCTGAAGAAAGAAAACCAATTCGTAGACAATCGGTTGCTGTCAAAAATAACAAAATAACAATATACAAGAGCTCCTTTTTTTGACTTTATTCCGACTTACGCTATAATTAAACGGATACCAACATGCTAAAGGCAGACTTCTGTCTCGGTAAACTATGGGCAGCATCAACCAGAATACGGTTCCCACATAGCAACAGTAGACATAACTTTTGATCCATAAATTAGACTGACGCAGGGCTCCTGTGACGGTCACATAGGTAAATCCGTGCGCTGAACGTATCTGATGCTTTTCATTGACAGAGCTAATTATCTCATTTAAAAGCTTGTGTCTGAATCGTCGGAAATATAACTTCATTGTAATGGTCCACAGATAGATCACCGTTTGTATTAGACAGTTGACAAGAAACTCTAGATCACCTTGGCCATAGTAAATGTAGATAGTATAGATAAATAATACGGCTATGTGCGAGCATACAAAGTAATTAAATATCTCGTAGATCCAATTCAACACGATTAGCACGAAATTAAGGCAGCTGCTTCGATTTCCCATTCGAAATGGATACATGCCAGCCACGCGCATCGTCGAGAGTATAAAGACGAACAGATCGCGGCGTTGCGACTCCTCCTCAGTTGGAATATCTGAGCATTTCATGCTGTTCTCTGATACTGCTATACTAATCGAATATTATTTGAATGTTCACGCTTTTAAATAGTCTGTGAATAGTTGTAATTATATTGTATTTATATATAAATTTTAAATTATTAGGTACAAGGCGCCCATTTGCTGTCAAAACTTTTTATTGAAATTATATGTATTGTTAATAATTTATAAGCCAAAAACTTTTTAATACTTTAATTGATATCAATGGTAAGTCCATAATTAAATTACCTTATTTCATTGCTGTACTTTCCGACTGAAAAGTAAAATATGGTAATTTATTTCACATATTTATGGGGGAAGGGCGGTAAAAATATAAATGTGCACGTCTTGTCCTATTATTTTGAATGGCAGTCAAACTGTCATATAGCCTAATCTTGTAGAAGAATCTAAACTTTTGTGTATTTTTGATGCATTCCTTAATTTGCTTTATTTTCTTTATTGTAATTACTGCAATTTTCAGCGATGTGAGACAACATGAGGTACATATATAGGAAATGAAGCGTAAAGCGAACAATATAATTGTGTATGGACTAAATAATTGATTGGTTAATGTTAAAAAAATGTAAGTACACATGAAAAACACTCTCAATATAAATGTAATCTCAATCTATGTTTAGTTGACGGAAGGTGCCCTCCATGCCAAACAGATCATCGCTTGTCTTTGGTGCGCCTGGGCGTAATGATTCATTCGCCTTTTTGTCCTCTTGCTCCTTGAACCACTCGGTATTATCAGCCAATTTCTGTTTCCACCACTGGTTGAGCTCAACAATTGGTCCCGCCTTGCCGCCATATTCATTGGGCAGCAAGTCACGTGGCACCACCTTGTAGAGACTCTCTACATCGTTGTGAAAGGTAATACGGCTGCGAATCTTCTCCTTGACGAAGGGCTTTACAAAGTTAAATATGGTGTCCACCAACGGGGAAATGTTGATCACATGCACCTCCTTCACCTTAACTGGATACGCCTCCTGTACGGCAATGAGAAACTTCTTCACCACCGTCGGCGAGAATTTAGCAAAATGTGATGCACTAGCTACAGCCGCATCCAAAATGAACACATCGCCGGCAATGCCCACGGACTCCTCCGCCAAGCGGACATCGCCAATCATCAGAGCCACCTTCATTGCATCCAGAATATGATGTGGCTGAAAATCGCAATCAATGCCGCGAATAAACGTAATGCGTCGTCCATTGGGCGTAATTCCCGGAAGTGTGGGGCAGTGACTGTTAAAAGGTAGGTAGGTATATTAGGTGGGATGATCGAATGTATGCTGTTAATTATAAATACACATAGTCCAGGACAATGTTCAGCTCCTCGCGATTTATGTCACGATTGGCAAAAAACTCGGGCACTGCATTCCGCATCGTATAGTACATATCCAGCTTCTTCTTCACCTTTTCTAGGCTGAATTTGCAACCCCGCAAGAAAGTTGTCAGCCGCATATCATCCATATCCTTAGGCAGATGTGGTTGGGTCTCCAGCCACTCACGAATCAGTTTAATATCACGCTCAATATCAGCTGGGTCCTCAGGTTCGCGCAACTCCTCGCGAATGCTTACTCGCTGTGCGGGTGTGGGATGTAGCATCATCATCTAATCCAATAAAGACAAGGAATACCAGATGAAATAATGCCAAATAGGCGCCTGGACGCAGGCTCAGGTAGAAAAAAATCTAAATGCATTTCGTTTATTTTAATAAAAGTTTTTGACTCTTTCAAGCTAAGCAACTTTCATTACATTGTCTGGTAAACTCATCAGACTCATTTGTTACTTGCCCAACCATTATTATTTTTTTTTGACGTATTATCTTCTATCTAACATTCATTTTAAGATTTTAATTAAGCTACTGTGAAATCTCTACCTGAAGTCACACGCGACTGCGTCGTGTCATTAACATGGCCAGACCCCTTATACGACTTAAAAATTGTCAAATGTAGCCCCTGCGATTGCTGTACACTGCCGTAGTTAGACCCGGGCCCAGTCATAGTACTGTCACGCCCACTTGCGTAAGGTGTTTTAGCTCGGCCCAAATCAACTGCGAAGCGACCTCAAAATAAAAACTGTTCATGGTTCACGTTTATTTGGCAATTTCAGTTGACTTTTGATACACTAGCGGCAATTTTAACAACAACCACAACAACAACAACATATGACTCCATAAAAGTAAGTACAAAACAAAAACACACTTTAAACAACAATAACAAATATGGTTTGAATAACCTTATGCAAATTCAAAACGTAGCAACAGCTTAAACTAAATTCAACGTTAATTGAGCCGGAAAAGCAATATTTAAGACTTTTACCTCAAGCCCTTGTATTTAAATGTATCTTTTGTAATTAAGATAGGGTCTTGGCTATGCCACAATTTGACCTCCCATCGGCTTTTTCTTTACATTATTATTGGTTGACTTTGGTTCATATACTCTTTGATTTTTTTGTGGCTTGGAAATGCGAAGATTTTAGCTTAAAACCTATTAACTAACATTAATCTGTGGGAGGTGGCTGACAAACTATTTAGAAAACGATTTGAGGGTTGGAATATATTTTATGTAAGGGATTGGCCATTAAGAAATACTTTGCTTATTTTATTTTTTTATAAATTTTAAATTTTTCTATTATTAACTGATGTGCTATTACTATAGTCTAGCAGCACTTCAGCGTGAGTATCGGGGGTTCATAGTATAATAAGTAGCTTTAAGGTAGCTTGGTTTAGATATTTATTTATGGTATTTATGTGGTATTCATACAGCAATTGTAATATTTTTTATATTTTGATTAACTTGAAACTAATTTTCCGCAAGGTGCAATAGGAAAAACATAACTCATTGAGGTCAGTTGTACGAAAAGCGAATGTAACATTTTGTGGTTAAGTAAAAAAAAAAAATAAATTGTTGCAAAAGCAAAACGAAAATTGCATATTTCCAAACCACGTGCTGTATGGTATTCTCTCAGCAGGAACCACATCAACCAACAGTCATGCAATGAACCTCAACAACAATTACTATCGGTTGCAAATTTGATTAACGTGGATGTATACCATTTATTGGATCTGTATGTGCTGCTTGGGTATTGTGAGGCAACTAGGCACACAATTCTCTATGTACACTCATGTGGCTATGTTGTTGTCGTTGTTGTTGTTTTTGTTGTTGTTGTTGTTGTTGTTGCCACTGCTGCTAATGGCCATTGCGTTTACTGCAAATGTTGCCTGCAACAACTTCAAATATTGCGAAAATCTTCGCGAAAACCAAATGTAAGGCGGTTAAAACAGAAACGGGTTTATTGCCTGGCTTTTGGTCTTTGGCTCCAACTGGTACTCCGTTTCTATCTCCCTCTGTCTTCTATATGCATATATGCCATTATTGTTATTACCTTAATGTTGCTTATGTTGTTCGTATTTGCTTTATAATTGTGCGCAAGTTACAGAGTTTTTTAGCTGAAGGGGATAAGGGAATGATTGATATATTTGCCAAGTTAAAAGTAGTATTGTAAGTACAACTTGGACAATGTGGAGTAAGGCTTGGCCATGTAACTAAACAAAGCCATACTTTGCGTATATTTTGTCAATTGTATTCATTTTTCATTTAAAATCTGTATTCAATCACTTTATTAAAAGTGGAAATTGCTTCAGAAACAACTTAACTAATTTTTCAGATTATTGTTCTCAATTATTCCTGTGTCACAATTGCCCATTGGCAATTTAAGACACTTTATAATTATATTTTTTTCTTCTTTGAGCACAATTGAACTGCACATAATTTGCACACATTTTCTTATTGTTGTTTCACTCATTTAAATTCCATGCTGCATTCAGAATGTGCGAATACATGACAAAGGTATGAAATGCAAATATATATTGGTATGTGGAATTTATATAGTATATCGGATAAAAGACCATGTTGATTTATTTATTCCTGAATAACCGGCTTTATGCAAAGTCGAAAGAGTGTTACAGCTCACCTTGATTGCGTTGTTAATTGGTTAGTCAGCTGGTAATCCTTTTTGGTGGCTTTGGTTTTAAGTATCCAATGGGCTACGTAGAAATGGAATATTAAACACACAAAACACGACCGAAGCGCTGAAGACGGTAACTAAATCTGATCGGTTTGAAACAAGTTGCAGCGCATATAAATACTTCCATGCGAGCAACGACGAAAACGAAAAAGCCAGCTGACGAACGACCACGACGACGATTGCAATAGCAACAACATGAGCAGAAGAAAACCGAAAGCCGTTAAACAGATCATGCCAAGAAAATCGGTCAAAGAGAAAAATCTGCACGAACCAGCAACTGTCTGCATCTGCGTATGTCTAAGCGGCATGGCATTGAGGGGAGCGCAAGGCTCGGAGGCACGAAAGCTCTGCTGCCATTTGCGCAAGAAAAGTTCAATGAGCGCACATCGGCCACAGACCCGCCACGCTCCACTGCCAGCCAGCCGTACAGACGAGCTGCAGTAACACAACGGCCAGCCCAAAAATGTTGTCAACCAGGCTTAGCCAAGTTCCGAACCGTGGAGTGGTAGTAGCTAGCCAAGTTTGTGTCTTCAGTCTTTTATTTTTGTTCTTTGAAAAGCATGGTGCTATACATATGCGCTGCCCCGCCCTTTGCAGGTTATTCCGCCTATCAGTCATGGTAAAAACTGCTGCGTGCAAGTTGTAAAAATATATATATAATTTTATACTTTCCAAGTGTTTCCACTAAAGAAAAATAATAGTAATATCTTATGGCCGCCATGTGAGCTATGACGAAAACTGTGCGGCAGACAAAATGTGTAGCTAAATCGTTGCCAATCGGCGAATATAATTGAAACGCATTGGCGTGCACATTGGATTTCAAATCAAATAAGTTTTGCCATAATTATTTCATTTATTTTTTTTTTCGACATTTTTCAATTAAGCAATTTAACCAAAGCAGTCTGTAATATTGTCTACAAAAATACTCTACTATTCGGTTTTTACTAACTACATAAGAGTCGTTGAACTTGTGTCAGTGC